AATCACCCTCATGCACAAGATTCTCATGAGAGCTTTTCTCCTTCTTCCAGTTAAACATTAAGTCCTACGATTTTTCCCAACCAACGTAACAGGAAGTCATTTTTTAGCGGTGCCTTCCTAAGTAAGTATGACATAAAATGCCATACTAACTTAAAGGAAACAAATCAAGATTCTAACTTACAACAAATAGAATCAGGGCAAAATATGAACTTTGTTCACTATACAAATCATACAGCAATGAAGATACATGTGTAATATTGGAAAACAAAGTGTATTTTAAAACATTAAAAAAATTATAGTATATATATACTGGACTTACTGATCTGAAAGAGACTGGAGGTACCTTGACCTCCTTATGACCCTTGATCACCTTTCAGGTCTAGAAAGGAACTCACCTTTGTGACCTTGTAACCCAATTTTTAGCCAAGCAATGGATAGGTATATGGGGGTGGGGAGAGGGACACTAACACTACTAGTAAGGTATGATTTGTTGAATGTAAAACTGATGATCTTGTCTATAAACTTTCAATCAATTCACAATAATTTTTTTTTAATTATGGTAATGGAGGCAGAGATGATGATATGGAAAGATAGAGTAGCTGAGGACTCTAGACTCATGGAAAGAGAAAGGCTGTGTGCTGGCAGCCAGGAGGCAGGCTTGCAGAATGTACCCTTTGGTGGTTTAAATGATTCTATATTCCTGAGTGGTTTTGTGTACATTAAAAAAAAAAAAAATAGAGGGAATAGAAGCAAGTATTATTAAATGATGATACATGGAGGGGATTGTAATCATTGCAATGAAACACAATATGATAGGCTGAGTGTAAAACCAATATTCTCTCATGTAAACGATTGCTCAAGTCACAATAAAAACTTAAAAAATTATACTGTTAAGTTTTATAGTTAGTCCATATTTTCTGAAATATCCCATTTAATCTGTTCAACTCCCAATTTATATTTAGAAGATAAGTCATTCACAGTAAACCAAGCTTTTGAGCACCCCTCCCATAAATGATTTCCTGAGCTTCCACGTGGAAAGGCAATTGCTTCCATTCAAGCTATATTAGGAAAAGGGCATCCACTTGTATTTAGTCAAGCTTAAGAGTTCTGGTGTGGTGTGTAGGATAAGCACTGGACTGCTAACCACAAGGTCAGCAGTTCAAACCCACCAGCTGTTCCTCAGCTATAGCAGTTGCGAGGATGGAAGAATTGACAGGAGCAGACATTAAGAATTGAGACAGGTAGCTTAGCAACTCTTCAATAGACTGTTGAGGATTTTAGTAAAATGGCAGACTAGGCAGACACACTACACAGACCCTCTACAGCAAAGATACAAGATACCAAATAGCAGGCAAAGATAAAAACCCTGGAACCCTAGACTTCAGAGAAGTGGATTGCATGCTTGTTGGGAGGAAAAGCTGAGCAGGGATGGTGAGAGAGGAAGACTGGCTGAATGGTGAATGACCAGCCAGATATGGTGTGACCATCTTGAACTTTTTTTTTTTTCATCTTGAACTTTTGTGAGCAGCTTTGACAACACAAGATGGCCTGGCAGAACAGAGTCACACAGGCGACAGGAAATGTGCAATTCAATCTTTTTCCCCACACAGAGGCAGGGGTCAGCTGTTCAGATTTGGTGTGCTGTTTTGGTGTCTGGATTCAGCATTTAACTAGTCACCCTGTCCTCAGTTCCCTGTGGTCCTAGAAACTAGCTCCATCAAGGCCACCATGATCCACTTCCAGATGGAGTACCCTGATCATAGGTAACATGGAAGTCAATGAGAACTCCATCTAGGGTCAGGAACTCCACTGTTACATCCCTTGTTGGCTTACAGGAGCCCCCCAAAATTTTCTCCACTTCAGGTCCTACATCTGCACTGTTTTGTTTTAGGGTTTGTTTCCCCTGCCCCCAATTGTTGTTTCACTTTTTTTGTCTATTTTTTCTCATCCTCTTCTTCTCTTTCCATTCGCTTGAATGTTTTTTCCTCCAAATTGCTTCTTAAAAAAATTTTTTTTTATTTAAAATGCTTTATTGTGAATTATGTGATAGTTTACATGGGAGGACATTAGCTTCACACTGATCCCATCGTATATCATTTCCTTGCCATGGTTACAATCCCCTCCATGCATCATCCACCAACCAAAGAGTATACCCCGCAAGCCTTTCCCCCTCTTGTTCTCCGGGTCCAAAGTCCCCAGCCACTCTATCTCTATCTCTGGCATCACTGCTTCTCTGGGTAGGATTCCATTCTCCACTCTTCTCCCTTGATGGTTCCAGGGACATCACTGCTTCTCTGGGTAGGATTCCATTCTCCACTCTTCTCCCTTGATGGTTCCAGGGACCTCCGCTCCTAGACTGCAAAGTTAATCACTCCCCTCCCTTTGCCACAAAACGTCTACCTTTACATTTCCAGCCCTTACAATCAGTCCTGATAACAATTATTCGCTATTGTATCGCAAGAGATCTATCCGCATCTCCTTATATCAGCCCTGACTAGACAGAATGGACACTACTCAGTGGAGCTTCTACTTTGCTCCATGCCCTAGAAAAAAAACAGACTGTTTTAAACAGGGAAAGCATTAATAAATTACAGGGTAACCTCAAGAAAATTAATACATCTGTACATCAAAAGAAAAAAGAAAAAAACTGAAAGATTTAGTAAACATTAACACAACAGAAATGAAAATGAAATAAAAACCCACAAATAAAATGATCTCAGTTCAGAAAATGATGTAGAATAAAGAAACCAGCACCACCACACACACACACACACACACACACACACACAAACAAACAAACAAAAAAAAAGAGCAAAATGACAGCAATTAATTCATTGTTGTTGTTGTTAGGGGCCATCGAGGAGTTGATACCAACCCATAGAGACCTTATGTACAGCAGAACAAAACACTGCCCAATCCTGGGCCTACCTCACTACTGTTGCCACACTTGAGTCCATCGATGCTGCCACTTGGCCGATCCATCTCATTGGGGGGTCTTCCTCTTTTTCTCTGACCCTCCACCTTACCAAACAGGATATCCTTCTCTGGTGACTGGTCCCTCCTGACAATATGTCCAAAATATGAGAGATGAAGTTTGGCCATCTTGGTCTCCAAGGAGCACTCTGGCTGCACTTCTTCCAAAACGGATCTATTGGTTCTTTTGGCAGCCCATGGCACTTTCAGTATTTTCCTCCAACACCATAACTCAAAAGCATCAATTCTTCTACGATCTTCCTTATTCACTGTCCAGCTTTTGCATTCACATGAGGTTATTAGAAATACCATGGCTTGGGTCAGACACACCTTAGTCCTCAAGCTGACATCTTTGCTCTTCAACACTTGAAAAAGATCTTGTGCAGCAGATTTGCCTAATGAACTATGTCGTTTGATTTCTTGACTGCTGCTTCCATGAGTGTTGATAGTTGATCCAAGGAGAATGAAGTCCTTGACAACGTCAATCTTTTCCCCGTTGATACCTATCGATAATTACACTGAATGTAAATGGATTAAATGTACCAGTCAAGAGACAAAGAGAGCAGAATGGATAAGAAAACAGAATCCTTCAACATGATGTTTACAAGACACATATCAGAAAGATGTTGTTGTTGTTAAGTGCTGTCGAGTCGGTTCCGACCCATAGCGACCCTGTATAGGGTTTCCGAGGGTGTAAATCTTTACGGGAGTAGAAAGCCTCATCTTTCTCCCGCGGAGCAGCTGGTAGTTTCGAACTGCTGACCTTAAGGTTCGCAGCCCGATTCGTAACCACTACGCTACCATAGACAAGTCTAAATACCCATCAACAGAAAAATGATCATACATACAATGGCATACTATGCAACGTGTTGACGAATAATGATATGAATCTGCTAAACACCTCACAACATGGATGATGAACCAGTAGGATATCATGCTAAGTGAAATCAGTCAATCACAAAAGGATAAATATATGACATCAGTGTTGTAAAAAGTTAAGAAAAGGCTTTCTTGATAAAAGTAATCTGTGATAGTTAGGGAGTTGTTGTTAAGTGTCGTCGAGTCGATTCTAACCCACAGCGACCCTGTATAGGGTTTCCAAGGAGCAGCTGGTGAGCTTGAACCACCAACCTTGCAGTTCAAACAACTTTGCAGTCTGACGCATTAGCCCACAGCGCCACACCAGGAGAGGGGAGGGAAAATTATTCATGGGCTAGAGAGTAGACACATGTTAACATGGGTGACCGGGTAGGCAGTATACAAGAGGGAGGTTGGCAAAGAAAAGATGAAGGTAATGGAAGACACAGGGAGGAAAGCCAGAGTTAAAGTGAATAGAGGCAAATACGATGAACTGTTGGTTGTTGCTGTTGTTGTTAGGTGCCTTAGAGTCGTTCCAACTCATAGTGGCCCTGTATAGGGTTTCCGAGGAGCGGATGATGAGTTTGAACAGCTGAACTTGTGGTTCAATGCTTTATCCCACAAAGTACAGGAAGGGAATTGCAATCATTGTAATAATGCAAAGTATATGGTTTGGTAAACTTGATGATCTGTTCTATAAACCTGCACTCAATTCACAATAAAAGTGTTTTTTTTTAAGGCGAAACAATAGCTTCACATTTTGATGTTTTTGTTTAATAAAGGTTTCTGTGAAAACCCCCCAAAAAACCAAAACAGTCTAGCTGAAGTCAATCTGAGGCGTGAAAGGCGTTAAAGGAAGGCAGAAGGCCTTGAAGCGCCCGTGTCTGGGGACCTGCTGACCCTGATTTCAGAATGCATGTCCCTCATATTTCTGATCCAGATCTAGAGTTCGTTTTCTTCACCTCACTTCACTGAGCTGGAGAGCACAAACAAATGCAACTTTCACTCCATACTCAAGTCCCCTCCCTCTCAGTGATCTGAGCAGGCGTGAAGGGAGGACCGGAAGTACGGGCGGACGTGACGTAGGAGAACTCTTTGGAAAGGGTGTCGGAGAAACAAATAATAATCCATCTGCAGACAGTGGCCTGTGTCGGCGGATGCAGGCCACCATGAATCGACTTTTGGACGACTATGACCCTTATGCAGTTGAAGAGCCTAGCGACGAGGAGCCGGCTCTGAGCAGGTGGGCCCCTGCCCCGCTTCGGCCTCTCAGGAGCCGAGACGGGCCTTCGTCCCCTTGAGCTGCCCCTGCCCCGCCGGCCGTCTCCCGACTCATCGCCTCTGGCGTCTTTCGGGCTGCCTCTAGGAGACCGAGGGAGGGTCCTGGTAAGGGGTCGCGTAGTCCCGGGGGAGGTGGGCCCGACGCAGAGAAGGGGAATATTCCGGAACTACCGTGGCTCTGCAGGGTATTGCGCTGGGCCACAAGTTCGGCGTTTCAAACCTACTAGTCGGCCTTCGGAAACCCTACGCAGGATCGCTCTGAGTCGGAATCGACTCGACGGCACTTAACGACAGCAACAGCTTTGTACGATACACACTGGACTGCAAACCATAAGGTCCGCGGTTTTAGCCTGTCAGCCTCTCCGCAGGTAAAAGTTGAGGATTTTTGCTCCGCAAAAAATCTAAAAGCGTCGGAAACCCCGTACAGGGTCGCTAGGAGTCAGAACCGACTCGAAGCCGCTCAACAACTTGTAAATCTTCGAAAGCGGCGTGATGGAATCTTCTCTCTGCAGTTTACTAACAGAGTGACCTAAGACAAGTCACTTACTCATCCTCGGCTTCTCATCTGTAACGTGGAAATGCAGTTACTGTATTCCTAAATTTCCCATGAAGCTCATGGGACATCATCTGTGTGTTGGTTTTGAAGACTTAACTGCAGAGATAAGGGACTATTGAATGACCTTATTTTTGAGCACCATCATATACTGCTCTGGTCTACTGAGGTCGATCACAGGATCCTTATCTTCCACAGGTGTACACTAGCTTGTTGTTAAGTGCTGTTCAATCGTTCCGACACATAGTACCCCTATATTGGGCTTCCAGAGGAGTTCTGGTAGTGCAGTGGTTACGAATCGGGCTGCGAACCGCAAGGTCAACAGTTTGAAACTACCAGCTGTTCCATGGGAGAAAGATGAGGCTTTCTGCTCCCTTAAAGATTTACAGCCTCGGATATCCTGTACAGGGTCACTGTGAGTCAGAACCGACTCCATGGCATATGACCACCACCACCACTTCGGCTTCCAGGGAGCAGCTGGTGGGTTTGAACTGTCGACCTTGTGGTTCGTTGTCCAGTGTTTATCCTATAGCACCACACCAGACTTACAGTATGTTCTTGTTGTTAAGTGCTGACATGTCGATTCCGACTCAGCGACCCTGTGTAGGGATTCCGAGGAGCAGCTGGTGAGCTTGAACTGCCTACCTTGCAATTCAAACCGACCTTGCATCCCTACCGTTAACCTGCAGCATCATACAGTATTAAGTGCCATTGGGTCGGTTATGACTCTGTGTTGGGTTTCCGAGGAGTGCCTGGTGGGTTTGAACCACCAACCTTGCGGTTCAAGCTGACCTTGGGGTCTAGTGCATTATCCTGCAGCGACATGCTAGGACTCCATCACACAGTATAGGAGGGAAAATAAGACAAAGTACAAGATACTTTGTTGTTGAGTGCTGTCCAATTATACCAACTCACAGTGGCTCTGTAAAGGGTTTCCAAGGAGCAGCTGGTGGGTTTGAACTGTGTGGATCCTGCTTCAGTGATGATCCTACAGCACCACACTTGGAATCCAGTGTACAAGATGATGCCCTGAGATAGGCACAGATGAAGTTCTATGGAAATTACTGGAAGGGACGGATTAATCCTAATTTGGCGAAATTTTCAAACAAATTTAGCCATTTCTCAAACTATTTTTGTTAAATACAGGTTCTATTTATAAAAACTTTTTAAAAACATAATTCTGTTCCATGAAGAGTTAGGAGTAGAATCTATCCTTTGGAACTGGGGTCCCTGCAGTGTGAAGCTCCTGTTGCTATCAGTAAGTACTGTCAAGTTTGTTCTGATGCATAGCGACCCTGTACCGGGTTTCCAAGGAGTAGCTGGTAGGTTTGAACTGCTGACCTTGTGGTTCGCAGTCCAGTGCTGAACCTACAGTGCCACAGCAGATCTAGGGGAAGCTTGATGCCAAGACACAGTGAGATTTCCAAGGACTGCTTAAAAGAAACTCGGACCTTTCTCCAGAGTTGGTGCTCTGAATTCGGACTTCTAGCCTTTTAAACTGTGGGAGGATAAATTTCTGTTTGTTAAAGGCATCCACTTGTGGTATTTCTGTTATAACAGCTGTAGAGAACTAAGACAGAATTTGGTACCATTAGTGGGGTGCTGTGGATTATGAGCAGAGGCTGCAGGAATACTTAATTGCCTAACAGTAAAAGCTTAAGGAGCTCTGGTAGCGTAGTGGTTACGAATTGGGCTGCGAACCTCAAGGTCTGCAGTTCGAAACTACCAGCTGCTCCGCGGGAGAAAGATGAGGCGATCTGCTCCCGTAAAGATTTATAGCCTCGTAAACCCTGTTCATGGTCGCTGTGGGTCTAAACCGACTCAACAGCACTTAACAACAACAACAAAAGCTTAGATTGCGCTAGATAGAGCCTACCTGCTGATCAAGAGAGCTGAGTACCTTCTTGCAGGAGGCTTCCTGGCTGAGGGTGGTGCCTCTGGGCACTTGTTGGTGGAGTTAGGTTCTCCAACCCATAAAGCTATAACCCTGAGTGCCTTTTTAATCAAGGCTTATTGGTGGAGTGGGCTGCCTCTGGGTACTCATAAGTAGAGCTACAGAGATTAGTAATGCTTGCTCAAGAATAGCAGAGACCAGGTTGTCCACTTTGAGCATTCAGAGGACCAGGAAGCAGAAAACGAAAATAGGAGCACAGAAAACAGAGCTGCCTTTGTCTTTTTTATTTATTTTTTTTCTTTCTTTTTTTTTTTTTTAATGTTTAATGTGAATTATATGATAGTTTACATGGGGGAACTTTAGTTTTACATTCATTCCATCATATATCATCTCATTGCCATGATTCCAATCCCCTCCATGCATCATCAACCACCCAAAGGGTATATCCCAGAAACCCGCCCCCTACACTTCCCCATCCTCCCCCCAGTTTTCAGCCCACAGTCCCTTTCCCTCTCTGGGTCCAAAGTCCCCAGTCACTTCATCACTCCAGGTCATGATCACTGTCTCCATCTCAGGTATCTCTGTTTCTCTGGGTAGGGTTCCGCCCTTGGCTCTTCTCTATTGATGGTCCCAGAGGTCTCCGCTCCTATCCTGGAAATTTAATCACTCCCTTCCTTGTTACAAAACTTCTACCTTTGCATTTCCAACCCTCATATTCTGTCCTGATAAGCATTATTCACTACAGTATCACGAGTTACCCAACTGTATCTCTTTTCATCAGCTCCGCCCAGACAGATTGAATAGTACCTACTGGAGATTCTGCCTTCTGCCATGCTCCCTAGCACTAGGTTCCCTCTTGAACCTTTGTCTTTTTTAAATGTTTTATTGTGAATTATGTGATAGTTTACTTGGGAGAACATTAGCTTAACATTCATCCTATCCTATATCATTTCATTGCCATGGTTACAGTCTCTTCCATGCATCATCAACTAACCAAAGGGTATACCCTGCAGGCCTGCCGCCCGGTCATCAGCACACAGCCTCTCTTGCCTTAGTCTTAAAAGTTAGACCCAAGACCTCTGGTCTCTCAAAGGATGGAATCGTGACCTTAGGTTTTGAAGGGTGGGGTTACAGTTACCTAAGTTTCAAAGAGTCAGATCTTCTTTACCAAGTTGGTTCTGGAGTATGGGTCTGCTACTAAGATGGGGATGATGCTCAGAGCTGAGAGGACACTGCTCCCATGCCTGAAGGGGCAGAGGAATCGGTCTGGCTGTGGGCTGAGGGGATGGAGTCACTGCTTAGATGGATTAGGAAAATGAGACTGTCCAAAGCCAAGGAAGTAGAGTTGATGTTGTAGTGGGTCTTTAAGGCCAAGCTGAAATCCAGGGGGTGAGCGGGCATCTCTACTGATAATCCAGAAAGCATGGCCAACACCCGAAGTCTGGAGGGCAGGGCCATTGCCTAGATGCTCTCAGAGAACGGAGGATTGTTTCAAGCCTGGAGAGCACTGTGAGTTGTTCTGATGGATTTTTAATTTACTTAGTGCCTAGTAGCCGTCTTTCTATCCTACTGCTCCCATTTGTAATGGAAATGTGTACCTTGTGCCTGTTTCACCAGTGTCCTTTTGACGAAGGTAAGTTGTATTCTAGATTCACAGGTGAAGAGTTTTGGCCCAGGTTGGAATTTGAACTTGGGAGACTTTTAGGATAATATGATGGGGTTGGTGTGCTTTTAGGTGTACACATGTTGGTTTCATCATGTTAGGCATAAGTATGGCTTTATAATTGTCTATATCTAGAGATTATGTATGGGTAAAGGTTATGTGTACAGGTGCCAAGTTGAGAAGGGGTAGACTGTGCTAGCTAAGGTTTTGTGTCGACTGGGCCAGGATTCTCAGTGATTTGGCAGTTAAGACTACGAATACCAGGAAAGAAGAGCTGTGTGTTTTAGACCTGGGGTCCCTGCATTTTGAAGCTCCTAGATCCTGGGAAACATTGATGCCAAGGCACATGGAGATCTCCAGGGAATACTGGGCCTGTATAAGTTTTATTTAAGTACCTAGAGTTTTGAAGAAAACCAGATCAATGAAGTAAACTTCTTTTCTGATGAAATTATGAATTGGTGTAATGCTTTTAGAAAGCAGTGTGAGAGCACCAAAAGTCAGAAAGGTGTTCCTAGACAGTTATAAGGAAATCAGTAGAAATAAAGTTACATGTGCAGAGGTATACATTCTAGTGTTTATTAGCAAAAAATTACAGTTGAATGTACAGTATTGATAGTGATACATCTGCAAGAGGAAATGTTACACAGATATTAAAAATGTATGTGGAAATACATAGAAGTGGTATTGAGGAAAGCTAAATGTAAATGATAAGATGTATCAAATACAACCTTGTAAAACTTAAAATTAATGTGGGACAATGCGATCATGGAAGTTTCCAGTTATTTTAATTCTTTAATTTTCTTACTCCTTCTGATTACTTGTTAGCTCTGAAGATGAAGTGGATGTGCTTTTGCATGGAACTCCTGACCAAAAACGGAAGCTCATTAGAGAATGTCTTACTGGAGAAAGTGAATCGAGTGAAGATGAATTTGAAAAAGAAATGGAAGCAGAATTAAATTCCACCTTAAAAACAATGGAGAACAAGTTATCCTCTCTGGAAACAGGTAGAATTTTAGTGAAATTACATATATTTTTGTAAGCTCCGTAAGGGCAGCAGTCTTATTGGTGCTGTACTGCTATGTCTCTGGCACTTTCAGTTGAGGCTCAATAAATCCTTATTTGGGTAAATGAATAAATATGTGCAGTAACCTGACCTGGACTTTTCACTCATCACCAGAGAAGTAGTTTCCTATGCTGTTGGAAGGAGATTATTCTGTACTGTTATATAATTTCCTTTTGTAATTTTTGCCCCTCACAAGATTATGTAACTATTTTTTAGGATTAGGTAGTGCTGATAGGGCAGGGCATCACCATGGATTCCTGTCTCATTTTAGTAAGTCATGAAACATGCTGTTAAGTTGTTTAAAAATTTAAGGCATTTGTTAATACAGAACTAGTAAAATTTTTTCAGAAACAAGTCACACAAATACTAGATGTTTGCACTTTGCTTTATCATAAATTTGTATACTCTAGGGGAGCTTACATACTGCTTTCCTGTCAGCTGCATCTTGGGTAATAGCGGCATTTCCTTTCCTGAGTCATCTAGTGGATTTATCTAAGAGAGCTTCGTTTTGATACTTGGCTTTTATTTAAAATGTGTCTGATCCTGAAACTGGTTTGTGAAAACAGGTCTCCTTCAGTTTTACTTTCCATGTTAATATGATCTATGCTTTTAGCTGTTAACTAAGAGAATAAAATAGTAGCAACAATAACAATATAATAATTAAACAAAAACCAGAAGCAGATGCTAGTTAAGAGGCATGAGTTGGGATGTAAGCATGTGATGACATAGTAGATAATATCAAGGCACTGGGCACAACTGGCGAGAGTATAATATGACTCATGAACTTGACTCTGTACAGAGTTACTGTTCTCTCTTCCCTAACGTCCTTTAAAACAAGATTCTTATTCCCTGTTCTTCACAGTTAATTGCATGAGTGAATACAGAGACATGATTGATGACAGCCTGAAAATAGAGTCATTTTATTGAATTAGGTCTGTGGGAAGAGAGACAATGATATATTGAACAAGATGGGACAGCTCTCTGAAATTGTATGTTGTTGTTAGGTACCGTTGAATTGGTTCTGACCCAGCTACCTAGTACAAGAGAAGGAAACACCGTATGGCCCTGCGCCACACTCACAGTTGTTGCTCCAGTTGAGTCCATTTTTGTAAGCACTGTGTCAGTCCTCTTTGTTGCTGACTGTCTACCAAGTGTTGTGCCCTTCCCCAGGGACTGCTCTCTCCTGATGATATGTCCAAAGTACTTGAGACAAAGTCTTGCCATCTTCATTTCTAAGGAGCATTCTGGCTGTACTTCTTCCAAGACAGATTTGTTCCTTCTGGTAGTCCATAGTATACTGAATAGTTTTTGCCAATACTGTAATTCAAATACATCATCTTTCAGTCTTCCTTAATTATTGTCCATTGTCCATAATCATATGATGTTGTTGTTGTTGTTAAGTGCCTTCGAGTCGGTTCCGACCCATAGCGACCCTGTACAGGGTTTCCGAGGGTGTAATCATAATCATATGATAAACAGTTGAAAATACCAGGCACACTTTAGTTCTCAAAGTAATATTTTTGTTTTTTAACACAAAATCTTTTGTAGCAGATTTGCCCAATGCAGTGTGTTGTTTGATTTCTTAAGTTTTTATTGTCAATTCAGTGAAGGTTTATAAAGCAGATCATTAGTTTTACATTCAGCAAATCTCATACTTTTACTGCAATGATGACAATCCCTTAGACGGAATGTCACTTACCACAGATCTTCCTTGTGTTTCCTGTTTCCATTCCTCCTTCTTTCCCCTCTTCTGAACTGATGCCCTTTGATCTCGAATGGTTGACCATTGTATGGTATTCATACATTAGTGTTGTTGTCCCACCTCTATATCCCTCTCTATTGATTGGCTCAAAATTGAGCCACAGGGTTGATTTTAGTTCCAGACCTGAACAGACACCAAGGGGTATAGTCTTGGGTTCAAGACTATCAGTAAACTTGACCTTTCTTATAATTCAGAGTTTTGTTCCACATTTTATCCTACTCTTTCCAGAACCTTCTAATGTGAACCCTCTCAGGGCACTTGGTGGTAATAGCTGGGTACCATTTACTTCTTCTGTTCTCAGGGTCATGGAGACTGATGCTCACATGTTCCATTATGCTATATATATATTTTTTTCATCCTATCATATATCGTTTCATTGCCATGGTTACAATCCCCTCCGTGCATCATCAACCAATCAAAGGGTATACCCTGCAAGCCTGCCCCCTGGTCCTTAGCACACAGCCTCTCTCCCTCTCTGGGTCTAAAGTCCCCAGCCACTCTATCTCTCCACGTCATTGTCTCTGCTTCCATCTCTGGCATCACTGCTTGTCTGAGTAGGGTCCCGCTCTCTGCTCTTCTCCCTTGGTGGTCCCAGGGACCTCCACTCCTAGACTGCAAAGTTAATCACTCCCTTCCTTGCTACAAAACGTCTACCTTTACATTTCCAACCCTCACAATCAGTCCTGATAACATTTATTCACTATTGTATCACAAGAGACCTATCCGCATTTCCTTTGATCAGCTCCGCCTACACAGATTGGATACTACTCAGTGAAGATTCTACCTTCCTCTACACCCTCTGGATCTAGATTCCCTCTTGAAAGCTTGTAAGCCAGTCACTTCTTGTCTTTGTAGCCCCTGCATTTTGGGTAGCCAATGTCCAAGTTACCCATCCCTGTCTACTCTGTATGGAGGGGGTGGGAATGATCCTTGCTATAAAGATTTGTTCCCTCTTAGATCTGTTGCATCCATAAGTGTAGGTCAAGTTCATCAAACTGTATCAGATTACTCTTTTTTTCCTCATCTTTCATCTTCTAGTTGAGCTCTGATTATCCATTCATTGAAGCCAGGTCAAGTGGGTATTATCTGCAAGTGTGGGTGTTCTTGTGTATATGCCCTCTCTTATCAGCTGGTTGCTTCACTCTCTACTCTAGTCCTCTGTGGCTCTGTCACTGACTCTGGGCTGAAGAGTCCCCAGGTCTTGCCACACTGCTGGCCAACCAGGTCTCCACTTGGGTTCACAGGAGTGTATTGAAGGTTGTAAGGCTTAGTTCGCACCCCATTTTTTCCAAGTGTCTTCAGCTTTCATCTTTCTTTCCTCTTATAAAAATAGACCAGTAGTTGTACTTTTGATGGCTGCTCATGAATTTTAATATTCCAGTCACTACTGACCAAAGTAAGAAATAGAATATTATGTTTGTAGACTATTGTTGTTAGGTCGTCTTGCGTCAGTTCTGACTCATAGTGACCCTATTTAGGGTGTTCGGGGCTGTAAATCTTTTTAGGAGTGGAAAGCCTCATCTTTCTCCCCTGGTTAGTAGGAGGGCAGGGGAAACAAAGAATTGCACCCCCTTGCTGCTAACTTCTAGCTGCGCCCAGTGCCACAGGCTGCTGTATCAGCAACTCACTATACCATGGCAGCCCACAGTCTGCCTGTTTGTCTTCTCTCTCACTGGTCCTGCTCAGCTTCCTCTTCCAGTCTGCACTCATTCCATCTCTCTGTGCTATCCTCTGATGCTCAGGGTTCCAGGATCACCATCTGTATCTGCTTCACTCAGTCTCTCATGTCTTTGATGCAGAGGGTAGGCTTAGTGTATCTGCTTACTCTTCCATCTTGTCCCAGATTCTCTCCATGGTCCCGTTAACACTCTTCTCCAACACCATAACTCAAATGCATCAATTCTTTTATAGCCTTCCTTATTCATTTTCCAACTTCCACGTGTATATGAGGCGATTAAAAATAGTGTGGTTTGGGTCAGGCGCACTTTAGTACTCAAACTGACCTCTTTGTTCTTGAACTCTTAAAAGAGGTCTTGTGCAGCAGATTTGACTAATGTATTGCGTTGTTGGATTTCTTGACTGCTGCTTCTGTGAGTGTTGATTGTAGATCCAAGCAAAATGAAGCTTTTGACACTTCAATCATTTTTCCATTTATCATAATGTTATTCATTGGTCTAGTTATGAGGATTTTTGTCTTTTTCAAATTCAGGAGCAATGTGTACTGATGGCTGTATTCTTTGATCTTCATCAGTAAGTATTTTAAGTCCTCTTTGCTTCCAGCTAGCAAAGTCATATCATCTGCATATTGCAGGTTGTTAATGAGCCATTCGCTAATCCTGATAAGTTTTGTATACAATCTAGCTTCTTGGATTTTTCTGTTTAGCATAGAGATTGAATAAGTATGGTGAAAGGATACAATCCTGGTGCATTCTTTTCCTAATTATAGACCATTCAGTATCCCCTGTTCTGTTTGTTGATTATATTATGCCAATTGACCATCGTGTCCCCTGCTTTGCTCCTGAGCCTCCAGACTCAGCAAATCATTCTTTTACGGTGTTTGGTAATGTCTAAGAATTCTCACAATTTTGCTTCTATATGCTCCATCACAAGGATTCCCTGTAGCATAGTGGGGTACGCGTTGAGCTTCTAATCACAATGTCAGTAGTTTGAATCCACCAGCAGCTCTGTAGGAAAAAACGGTGAATTTTCTGCTCCCATAAAGATCTACAACCCTATATAGGGTCTCTGTAAGTCAGAATGACTTGGCAGCATACAATCACCACCATACTTATCTTTTAGAGCATGGTGGCTCTGTAGGATAAGCACTGGAATAGAACTTTAAGGTCGACAGTTCAAGCCCACCAGCCGCTACACAAAAGATTTACAGCCTTGGAAACAGGGTTGCTATAAATTGGAACCAACTTGATGGTAACAATCTAAAATTGATCAAACATGCAATCAAGATTTATTGATAATTACCGGTGATAGGAGGACAAAGATTGGAAACAAACGCGAAGGATCAGTAGGCCCTTGGTGACAGAAATGATGCAAGAGATCACATGATAGAATTTTGTAAAACCAATGGCTTATTTGAAGCTGTGGTGTAGTGCAGAAGGATAATGCACTGGACTGTAGGTTTGTTTGAACCTCAAGGTCAGTGGTTCAAATTCACTAGCTAC